GGAGCACTCACGACATCGACGCCGTTAGTGTAAGTCGCAAGTTGAAGGTACCAGCGTTTGGAAACCAAAAATTTCTTAGTTGCATCGTCGCTTCAACATGCTTCGCTGCCGATGTAACCTTCTCCACTGACTCTTGTCTCTACTACTGCTGATTCTCCCCGAGTTTGCTCTTCAAATACGTGCGGCTAGTCACGGAAGAGAGAGCAATAGGATGGTCGCGAACTTTGTGAGTCAAGAATCCATTCGCGCCGTAAACTTTGTTTCACATTTGTTCAGCTTTCCTGGCTCCCATGGGTTGTCTTTTTGATTGTATTCATAGAAGCATTGTTGGTGCGCACGATGTGAAGTTCGGTTTGAGTCAATTAATGACTATTATGTGGGCAGGTCATCCAAGATTCGTTGATGGTAGTCCGTAACTCCAGCCATCTCTTCTGCACTATCAATAACCGCAAGCTGTAAGCTACTGTGATTATACTCACCTAGCACTTACCGGTGAACCTCAGGTATCTAACAACTGGGATTATGATACTCCTATCAGCTGTTATTCTATTCCCATTGGAGGGTGAGTGATTCAGTTTTATTGGAATAAGCCCTTAGACTGTCTTCCAGCATACATGGCCATCATAATTCGTCGTCATTCGGTACTATCGTTGCGCCAGAAGTTCATAGTCAGCAAAATTGTATGTTTCTCCACTTTCACTCGTTTGGTACTTTTCAGTATTATCTCAGCTGCTGTGATTGGGTATCTGAATCTTCTTACATTTATAGCCCAGATGCTGATGGCCCCTCAGATTCCACTCGTATGTAATTGCCCGAGTGAACAATACAGTGACGACGTGCAGTGTAATCCTTTCATCTTGTAGGTCTTCCAGTGCGACATCAAAAATAGCATACAGACCTCTCCTTTCAATAGTAACTGTTGTGAATGGCTTAATATTTGGGACAAAGAAGGTGAGCGACTTTCTCTCGAGTTGTTTGACGTCTCAAGTGTCGTGTCGCGACAGGATATCTTGAATGCATGGATTTTTTGGAGAAAATCCAGCCCAGACAGTGTTCAACGATTCAATAATCACTCTCGTTTTCATGAAGACCCGGAGACTGCTGGTAAAGAGCCCTCCGAAGTTGTCGCAAAGTAGTACTGCTTTACTACCCTCCAGCGTGCTCTCGTGCCTATTCTAAGTACAATTTATTCAACTAATTCCATCAATCACCAATATGCGCGGTTACATCGGAATCATCCTGTGTATTTGTACTGTTACAGCCTCTCATGCTTCTAAGAATAATGTTACGGTATCAGCGATGTACTGATCACGATTGCAAGATAGCTAGCTAGGTAGATAAAGCGACGTAGTACATTGATACGCCAAACAATGTCAATCCTTGACCTATAATTCCTCATGTATGATAGGCTCAGACATTTCGAAGTAACAACTATAGCGAGATGATTTCTGAGTCCAACCGACTGGAGAAGAGATTATCAAAACATCAGGTACAGATAGAGATTGTATAAAAAGATGAAAAGACGACTCACCACACTGCCAACAATCCAACAAATGATCAGGATCACTATAAGCCTTCAGTATATCATGTGATGATCTGAGAACGTTCGTCACGTACAATTTCGCTTTTAACCTGAGCAACTCGGGATAGTGTTTGCCCCAAAAAGCGACTGGAGAATGCAGGTCTTAAGGAAGAGCATTATTGGGAAACCCAAAAACACTGTACCTTGATGATTAGGCTCATATACATCTGCTTCATTCTTTGAAGAACAATTAGTCACCCGCGAGGTACAGGAATTCATACATTTGCCTTACAAGGTAGGCCGCATCCGGCGTTACTTTCCTGAGATGATTTTACTTGCAGCAACGTAGTGATCTCTCTTTTCTTCAATAGTCGCATTCCAATTCCACGTTGAGACGACCGTGATATGGTAGAGACTGGATCTCCATGCATCAGCCACACTAGTTTTTCCCGTAGACGGAAATGATGATGGAGCGCTGATCAAAATGATGAGACCTGGAGTCGCAGCGTCAGCAGCGAGAAGTGCCGAGACGAGGGCGGATCTGTCAGAAGAGGTTTTGAAATTGTCTTTGCTGATTAGGCGTGACGCGAGTGCAAGGCTTGAACCAACGACCTAAGAGATGCTATCAAGATAAAGCTAGGAGGCGAGTGAGCGAAACGTACTGCAACATGGTCTTTTGCGAAGGCATTAAAGAACGTTCCCCAGCTCGGGAACTCGGTCACGATAGTTGAAGCGCCTTCTTCGCCTTCACTTTGGAGCCTTTTCCCAAACTGAATCAAGGGATCCATTGATTTGGCCGCGTCCTCCTTGGTGGACCCCGGGTTAATCAAAATTGCAATGCCAGACGTGGAGAATCCTCCCCATCCTTCTTCCGCCCACTTGAGACCGTTGTCCGCGAGAATATTCCACAGTTCCTGCGTTCGCACAGTGTTCGGGGTGAAAGATACGATGACAGTCTGGAGAGTGACTTGCGGCTCAAGACCGACACCGAAGGTCCCACCGCCCCCTGTGATCGAAAGGGAAGATCTGTCAGAATATGTTCGATGAATCCAACAGAAGTAAATGCACCTCCACGAAGAGCATAGAAAAGATCTTCATTCTGACAGTCATTCGTAGTCCTGTATTGACCATCCGGCGTAACAACCTTGTATTGCAGCTTTCGAGAAACAGGTCAGGCAATTGATCAGTCCCAGGCTCGCAAATGACTTTGCTTACCACTCGATCGACGCCCAGTCCCATAGTGTTGGATAAGGCGCCATGTCCACCACCTTGGAGCCATCCGCCTACGACACCGACGGATCGATCACTTCCTCGTGTGGCATCAGCCTCAGAACAATGATTCAGTGACCTTTTACGAACCTCCAACAAACGTGATATTGTGAGCTTCAGCGAAAGGGTAAGCTTCGCCCCATTGAACGCCGGCCTGATCGGGATTATCACAACTGGGATCCCAGAAAGGGGGAGGAAACTCACACCAAATGTCACTCCTGGCTTCGACTGAGAACAGCCTTCCGGTACAAATTCTGGGTCGTACGATATCTAATAATACAATTATTACCAGGCAAAGAATACACAGACTGAAATCTTACCTTTTTCAGGTTGTGTGTCTGGTATCTATCAATAAATGTTATCTGATTGAGAAGTGGAAGGAGGTAAATACCCAGAGAACCAAAGAATGAGGAACGCTGCTTCGACCTTTGTAGCTGTTGAACCAGGAGTTTAGACGGCTTGGAATACTTGCTGTGTACGGCAACTTACACCTGTATTTTTAATCACAAGAGGCACTTTGGTCCGTCTGACAAACTGGAACGCTGCTGCCACATCTTCAGCAGATTGGATGTCAATCTGTTCTCATGCAGTTAACCGAAAGTGATCAGACCCCAGAAGTTTAATGCTTACAAAATATTCTGGTACGCTTCCAAGTTTACATCGCCTTGGCTGCAAAACTGGTTCTCGCACGTTAGGATCTATAGAATCGAGGAGACATTGATCATCTTTGACTGTTTGACAAGTCTCCCATTGTATTTGAATATAGGCCCCAGGAGACTCTGTTCGTGCCACTGCATTTGAGTCCGTGATGAGTCTAGCGACACCGACATAAGTTCACAATAATCAGACCTTCATCAAGGTAACTGGCGCGAACAGCGAGATATTCTGTGGGGTTAAACCCTCCCATATAGCAGGGTTGTGCGAAAGGAACACCCTCAAAGAGGCGGCCACCGACAGTAGAGTTCAAGCTTGCCCATTCAGCGGCCGAAAGTACAGACCCGAACTTCAGAGGCTCTTTTTATTGAAGCGCAGCTGGATGAGACATTGTCTATCTCAATTCAGCTGACTATGTGACTGTCACAATTAACAATTACGTATAAGCTCTCATCTTATCTTATCTGCTCAAAGAACTACGTGAAGTCGATGTCATACCTACAGTACACCGTCTTTCAGCACAGCCATTCTAAATTGCAGATCTGAAACGTGCATCTAGCATTTTACGAACGGGTAGCCAAACCACTTCCGAACCTGGCCCAAGGGTAGTGCAAAGCAAGAAACACAGTACAAAAATCTCTTCGAAAAGCCATAGGAGAGGGAGATGTAGGACAACCGAAAGAAACAGCGAAGGAAAGGAAGCTTCACCAGAATCTAGGAAGGCCAGGATAGGACATAATTTTCAGGTATCATACTCACCAACGATCCTCCATGCGGTTGACCAATAACTCTCCCAAGCAATATTTTCGATTGATGACAATCGGTAAGAAACTTTCAGAATCCAGAGATTGGTGTCGTTTCTGGGCAACGGATTACGTCTGTGGGAGATGGTTTGCATGCTCTTCAACAGGGGTTTTGGTACAAAACCAAGACACGCAGTACGTTGCTTGCTTGATGAAGCTCATGATAAGAAAGACAAAGCGTATACACGAGCACGCAGGCACGCTGCACGGCTTGCTATCTGTGGTGCGTACGCTATAGTAAACAATGATCCTGAAGTTCCATACAAACGTGCGACCCACTTCGGGCACCACATCTCGCACCCTAGCTCAATCAGGAACGTGCAGAAAGAGCTTGGAATCGGCAAAGCCGCGTCCTTCATCCTGCAAGTCACGAACCCGGTTGCGCTGGCGATGGGTCCTCGACAGGCGCATAGCAAGAGCGTTAAGCACCTCGAGGGGAGGGAGTCGTGTGGCCCGCGGTTCGTAAGGCGTGAGACGCTGCAGTTGTTGGATTATAAAGGTACGGAGGTGTTAAGCGAAGAAGAGGTGGAGATCCTATTCATGTTTGACGCTGCACTGCAGCGGAAAGAAATACATTGGTGTGTTAGCGGAATGAATTTGTGGTCGTTAATTGGATCACTGCTTGGTGTAGAAGAGAGGCGGCGGTAACATGGTGGCGGTACTTGGAGCGAGAAGCGGTTTTTTATAGGAAACGCCTGGGAAAAAGATAAGTTGATGACACAAAAAATGAAAAGCAAAACAAGTTGAAGCAATTCGGATACGGGGAATTGAACCCCGAGCTGCCGCGTGAAACTATCACCACAAGATGCGCCACATGAGAGGCGGCAATGTTAGCCATTACACCATATCCGAGTGTAAAACAGATATCCGTTCACATATACAACTCCAGGCGAGACCGAAGCGTCGCGTTCAATATGGAATAAATTCTGAAGATAGGGGTATTAAAAAGGTATGGTGAGTGTCTGTCCACTTAATTCAAACACCTCAACTCCCCCCAACAACCTCCAGCCCCGCCCCAAGTGCCCACCCGAGTTCTGTGTCCCTCACGCGCTTGGCAATTCTTACCTCGCGCGCGTCGTCAAACTCGTAGCCGCGCCGGAGGAGGGCGTACATGAATGTCAGGTCGAGGCAGTACTCAGTGCGGGAGTTGAGATCTTCGAGGGTGGAAGGCGAGACGGTCGTAAAAGTAGGAAAGGAGGAGGACAGGGCCTGTTGGGAATGTTTCAAGGACGGAGGGTTGATATACGCCGTTGAAGGAGCATGGTTTGGTTTTGCATATTCTGTTGGGTATTAGCTTGGGTGGAGATGGAAGAAGGAAAAGAGAACGCACGCGTCCTTTGCCATGACGAGCTCCATTATCCGCAGACAACCGTCGAAAGAGCCAACATCGTCGCCGACCATTGTCACGTTCCTATCTTTCAGTTCAACGAGTCTCTGCATGCCCATTGCGATGCACGCATTCCCAATTGTCTCTTCGGTCTTGTTGCCGCTGGCACGGATGGTCGCCATGAACTCGACAAGCTGGTGGACATGTTGCCGGGCACGCATGAGGCCGTAGCCAAGAAACGAGTGCTGGTAGAGCACGTGCGTCTTCTCTGCAAACGTCAGCTCGTGTCTGTGGTCTTGCTCATCCAACAGCGCCTCCACAGCGCCTCTCGGCTCAAACGCAATCTGCGTCGACGCCCCGCCAAGATCCAGCACTGCCCACGTCGCATTCCCGCCCTCCAACGTGATCCAGGCATACACGCCCTCATCCTGTCCGTCCATCACAACAACCCCCTCAACGGGAAACTCCCACCTCCCCAGCCTCTCCCTCACTGCCCCAAAAGCCCATCTACCTCTTCATCCTCCAACAGCCTCAGCCCAGTCGTTGCTTTCACCGCCACGGGAATGCAGCGCCTCATCTCGCTTGGGACGACCCGCACAGCGGCGTCCATGAGTACGTCGAGTGATTTCGCGCCGAGGAGTGGCGTGTGGGCGTACGACGAGAGGCCCGGCTGTGTCTGGGTGAATACTTCGTATTCGAGCGTGGGGGATGCGTGGCAGTTGTTGAATTTGTAGACATGCATCCGCGAGCCGGTGGACCCGGCGTCGATTACGAGAGCGTATTGGACCAGAGGGGAGGAGGGGCGGTGAGAGTGGTGCAGGAGCTGGTCAGGGTGCGGTCGGCGTCGGTCTCGTACGTGAGGGGCGAGGGCGAGGGTGCAGGTGGTGGTGATGGTCCGTGCTCTACTATCCACACTAAAGAAATGGTCTATACAACATCAGTGTCGTCTTTACCAAAAATAAGATACCCACTGTTATCCAACGTCGGCGACTGTGATCCTTCTTCAGAAAGATGGTCTACAAAAGAGGTATATCATCAGTCTTGTCTCCACAAGATGAAAAAGAAGAGATGACCACCATTCAAATTCCTTTGCTGACTTAACACAACACCAATCACGCATACAACCACTAGCACCGCTCTCTTCCACTTCCACATCAACGTCCACGTCCCTCTCGTCTCTGATACTGGTGCTGAGCCACCTTCTGTACGCCGGCGCTGAGTCCCATCCCTGTTTCGAGGAGCTCATAGTCCGGAGACGCCGGTGTTTTAGTTTTAGTGCGCACGCGTTGGCGTCTTTTTGCCGGTGTCTGTGTCTGGGTGTGCGAGGAAAGGTGAGAAGAGGAGGAGCTAGCGGAGCAGGATGAGACAGAGGACCAGGTAGAAGACAGCGTGGCAGCTTGATCTTTGTTTTCGTGATGCGCGATTCCGACCATCCAGCACCGCAGCACGTCTATATACCACTTGTCGCAGCAAGTTTCGCGCAGGGGTGACAGACTGAGTCCGAAAAGAGTACTAGGATCTACGATAGCGAGTACGGTGGCTCAGTAACAGAGATATCTGGATATCCGTGATTCAGAACTGTGTATTGAGTCTGATACGATAATACATACCTGGATATCCGTGGTTCAGAACTAGACCACGGAATCCAGGACTGGTGAAAATAATCTACGTATCACGTGAGATCTGAGAGGGATGGTTGTGGTGATGAGAGGGATGGGCACTCCCGCCACTATGGTTGCAACACTCCCACCTGACGGAGTGGCCACAACGTTACCGAAGTTCGCTCCTCGAGAATTCACCAACGACCCCCATTTTCCTGCGTAACCTGTCCACTGTATTGCGTGACAGTGTCTTTGTGAGAAGATTAGCGGCCATGTCCTTGGAGGCCACGTATACGGGTTTAATCTTGCCATCGGAGACGGCCTGGCACAGCTAAAACCAGTGGCGGTCAAGTTGCACTGGAACATGTTTCCATTAGAAAAATGGAAAAAGAAACCGGTTATGCCATTTCTTTGACATATTTTTCCTTTGGAAAAAGGCTTCTCCCATTGATTAGAGCCTTTTTTTATTGAAAATATGCTGTTTGGAAATGGTATAACAGGTTTCTTTTTCAGTATTTCCTCAGGAAAATCTATTGGCTGCCAGCAGTGTTTAGACAACTCATGTGTTCTGGGTGTTTTGTCACTGAGATTGCTGACTGGTTGTCGATATCCAAGATTAGTGGCATAGACTGTGGGGCACCAATATCTGCCAATAAATTGCAGAGCCAGCACAGTTCATGACCAGTCTCGCTAGCAGCAACAAATTCAGCCTTGGTGGTCAATAGGGCAATGATTGACTGAAGTTTCGACATCCAACTGACTGCACTGCTGGCCACCATTAAGACCAAACCAGTTGTTGAGTGGCATTGTCAGGATTACCACTGTGGTCAGCATCAGTGAAAGCTGAGAAGGGTGAGGGGAGGGCAGAGACAGTGCTGGCTCAGTATTCAATCTTGTAGTCAAGAGTACCCCGAATATATCTCATTAGATGTTTAATGGCTCTCCAATGTCTGGGTCCAGGACAAGCATTGTAATGGCACAAGACACTGACTGCATGAGCAATATCTGGATGTGTGCACATTGCAAGGTAGAGCAGTGCACCAGTTGCTAGTATGTACAGTATTGCATGCATCTCTTCAGCTTCTGTGGGATTCTTGGGGGAATCTGCCTTAGATAGGTGGACACCAGGCTTGAGCAGTGTGGCAACTGCTTTAGAATCAAGCATATTAAATTGTGATAAGAATTTGATAGCATATGCTTTCTGATCTATCCACAATTTATGATTAGGGCAGTTATGGGTAACCATAACACCCAGGAGGCCCCTGGTTGGACCCAAATGGCAAAGCTTGAAGAATTGCTGTAGTTCAGAGATGACTTCAAGCAGAGCTGGTCAAGATTTCAAGGCAAGAGTCATGTTGTCAATGTGCACTGGGATAATGATATGGACTCCATCCCGGAGGTAGATGTAGACACAGGGATCAGAAGTGATCTTTACAAAACCGAGCTTTAACAAAACCTCATGCATCCATTTTTTCCAAAGATTAGCACCCTGCTTGAGCCCATAGATTCCCTTCTCAAGTTTGGCATAGACAATGCCATCACCAGGCAGGCTGGTGCTCAATGCCTGGCTGCACATCCTCTGGGAAGCCCTTGGGAAACCTTGTGTAGAGTTCAGCATCTACAATGCCATGTAGGAGTGCAGATGAAATGTTGACTGACTCCAGATGCAGGTCTTCTAGTGCAGCAAGGGCAAGTACCATACATACTGCAGCCCAGTGGGCTGTTGGTGCAAATGTCTTGTCAAAATCCACACCTGGCCACTGGCTGAAGCCCTGCGCTACAATATGGGCCTTGAAATGCTCTATTGCACCATCAGGTAAGTGTTTAACTTTAAATACCCACTGAGAACCTATTGCTCTACACCCTGGTGGTAAATATACAGCCCGCCATGTGCCATTGCCATGCAGGGAGTTCATCTCCTCACACATTGCTTTGTGCCATTCAGCAGCATTTTCACTAGCCATGGCTTCCCTGTATGAGTGGGGATTAGTGTCATGAGCACTGACTTTGTATGCACCTGCAACATTAGCATGTACTGCACCAAAACCATCAAGGTCTACTCCATGTTCCACAAAAGCTTGCCCACCAAGAAATAAGGCTTTGCCTGATTCAAGGTTCAGTGCAAAGTTTACCTCCTGCTCCCCATGGTGGTTGACATTGCCAATGTCAATGTTCCACAGGAGCTGCTCAGGTGGCTCCTCTGGATGGGGCAAAAATGGTGGTGGTGGTGGTGGTGGTGGTTCATGCACAATTGGGGACTCATGGTTCTTCTGGCATTGTACAGCATCATATTAATCAGTGTTTGGCTCACGAGTGGGCACTCATACCTGCTGGCTGGGTTTCTGGAGGGGTGGTAATGGCTTGGGTTGGTGTGGTGCCTGTGGCTATGGAACTGGAGCCTCTACTCCCACCAGTTCAAGGTCCTTGTTGTCACTTGGTACAGGAGTAAGGGGTTCATTGGCATCAAAAAGGTCTGCATGATGCTTGGTCAGAACTGGCATAGGTGTGGGCATTGATTGGGGTGTCAGCAGCATGTTGTCAACCTCATACTGAGGTAGGTCATCAAAAGCTTCTAATGGCAGGTCCTTTGGCATGTTGGTGGATGAAAGGCCAGGGAATTGGGACTCATCAAAAATGACATCTCAGAAAGTTATCAGCTTTTTGGTTTTAAGAATGTAAACCTTCCACTCAACATGATCATCAGGATATCCAACAAATATTCTGGGCATAGTATGGCCCTGCTATCCCTTTTACTTGTCCCAACCTAGAAGTATGTATGCAGCACAGCCAAACACCCGTAGATGGCCAATTCTTGGCTTCCTTTACTTGTAAGCTTCATAAGGAGTAATAGCGCATGGAAGGGATGATGTTGGGCATTGGTTATGTACATGCTAATACATGCTGAGAGTGTATGTCCAGAAACT